GCTAACCGATTATCGCAAAATGACGATTTTTGCACAGCTGATCGGCGGTTTCAAAATGGCCGCCAGGTTAAAAAAAATGGCCACCCGCTGTTTTCTGGGATGGATTCCTCGCTGCACGGGCAGCAAAAATGGCTGCACTATGGAGGATCTTCGCTGGACGGTGAATTTCAAGCCCATAAGAACGCATTAATATGGTTTAATGAGTTTCTATGGGCTTTTAAAAATCGCTTTATGATGTTTTCATTCTACAGTGATTTCGCTGGAACGAATTAACAACGTAATGCATGGCACCACTGTATTTTGTTCTAGATTTCTCCCAGGTGGCTCTGAATTCTAGAAGGGTATATCATATCCTTGGGAAACAAGCAAACATATAGACGTAAAAGGCTGACCATGCAGTGACTTTGGAACAAATCAAACCTATTTCCAGCTGTTACTTGAACCACCCAGTGTAGCTGGTAGGAGCTGTTCCAGAGTGCTTTTCTTTTCCAGGAACAAGCAGCAGTGGTGGCTTGGGAGTTTCATCCCCTGCTTGTTTCAGGAACGGGATTAAAAATGAATAACAATAAAGATAATAGTAGGAGTAATACTAACAAAATACAGATAACAATTGCACTTTCCTTTCTATGCTGACCCACAATTTTGGATGCTACAGGCATGTGTGCTATCAAAGCTCTTTTTACTCTACGTTTGGGAGAATACGAATATTACCAGAAGCTTTAATCTGATTGTTCAGGAACACGAGAATCAATAGGCTTTGATTCATACTTTTGCTTATTGTTCTGCTGTGTTTGATCGCAGCTGTCATCAGCTGTTTTTGTTCACCTGTACTCCCCACTTTAAAAAGGCAGGGGTCAGAAGTTGAATGAAACACAGGCAACTTGTGCCTTCCGAAGTTGTGAGAACCTTGTCTGGGATGTTCTACAATGAGGGAAGGGAGAAGGTGTTGTGTAGAGCTCTGATCAAAACCAAAAAATGGCTGCTTTCCCACAGGTTCCCGTGGACTTTATTGCACAGAGAACCAGAGCTGATCTTGGTTGCCCATCTGTGTTTTTCAGGATCCTTTCACTTGCGTGCAGTCCAAGTGGCGCTTCTTTTGTCTGTTCAGCTGCAGCTTCTGGCCTTCTCAACCAGCTAGATTATGCAGCTCCAGATTCCGGAGGGAAAGGCACAAATCAAGTCCCTGGGAAACTGCTTTTGTGGGACACTAAAACCATGAAGCAGCAGGTATGGCGTTCTGTCCTCTGCCTCTCTCGTCCAAATTCTAAGGAAGGTATCCTTCCAATTTGGAATTTTAGCAAAAGCTATCAGTCATTGACACCTTAAAATCTTACAATGAGGCAGTCTTTCTCTGTGTCCAGTTTGTGTTGCAAAAGTTCTTTCAGATACTCCATTTGATGCTTCTCTCTAATTCTTCTAGTATTGAGTTCAATTAGTCCTTTTTTAAAGAAGGTTGAATGTTACACTTTAGTAACTTTGATATTGAGTTGCACCGTGAAGAGCGTGTGAATGAATGTTTGCTGCTGCCACCTTAATATGCCACAGGGCTTCTGTGACTAGTTTTGTCCACCTTCTTGCACCCCTTCCCAGAGAAGATGAGTCTGGCCACAGGTACATTCCCTGGTTATTTTCTGATGAGATTAGTCCACTTTGCCTTATGTGGGTTTCCTGTGAAGAATGTGCGAAAACTGCCTTTAATGCAGCAGCCCGAATGCTTTCTGGTGTGACATAATACTAGTGTAGTATTGTATATATGTAGTTATATGTAGTTGTATGTAGTTACATATAAGTGGTGCCTCGCTTAACGATGTTAATTGGTTCCCAAAAAAACATTGCTATGGGAAAACATTGCTAAGCGAAACACCATTTCCCATAGGAATGCATTGAAAACCGGTTAATCCGTTCCAATGGGAACGGATTACCATCCTTAAGCGAAAATCGCCATAGGAAACATCGCTAAGCGATACAATGTTTCTCCCATTTTCGCTATTTTTAAAGTGTCTTAAAATGTTCAAAAACGGTTTTAAATGCCTGGGATCGTTAGTGCACCTTGCAAAACCTGTGCAAACTTAATTTGGCTTTGTTCTGAGTCTTTGTTAATTTTTGGTGATTTTTTTTCTCCCCCATTGGAATGAATCGTTGTGCGAGGCACCACTGTATGTAGTTATATGTAGTTACATATATTATATGTAACTACATATATATTATATGTAAATAGTATTATATGTGACATAATACTAGTGTAATGAAAAATTAATTTCTTAATTTTTCATTACACTTGTATTATGTCACATATAGTGGGTCTTGATTCCTTTCCAGGACAGTTTAAAGTGCCTGTTCTCCTCTATAAAACCCCAGATGACTTGAGACCAGAATAATTGTCACATGAATCTGCCCACAGATTGCAATAAATCTTACGGGGACCAGCTGTATGGCTCACTATTTAAAGAGGCTTGATTGGTGAGAATGGAAGATAGAGCCTCTGTCCTGATTCCACCATGAAGGGATACCTTCTTAAGAGCAGCTAAATTGATTCCAACTTTGATCTTTTTAAAGCAAGGGATAAAAACATTTTTTTTCCTGTTTGGCTTTCATTGTTTAATTATGATATTGCAGTTTTTACTTCTCTGTCCTATTGGTTTTCAGATCTCTACCTCTAAACTTTGAAAAAAATACTTAAACTTGTTTGTTGATTGTATTAGTTATGAATTACAAACCACTTTTTGTTGAAAAACAATTTAGAAATGGTCTTAGTTATGTACCATCAAATCAGACTTATAGTGACCCTAATAGGGCTTTCAAGGTAAGTGAGATATTTAAGGTGAAGTATTACCAGTTCCACTCCTCCAGCTAATTTCCATGGCTGAACAATGGTTTGAACCCATCTTTCGGAAAGGTTGTCAGGCACACTCTGAAAACCTTTTGATTCTTTTATTTCCATAGTTCATGGGTGGATTCCTTCTCTCATGCCATCAGCTGGCTTTATCTCTCTTCCTGCTGAACCCACTTCCCTGCCTTCTGTCCCTCCCGATTCTCCTTCCTTTCCCACCAGGTTTGGATGTTGTTGCATCCCAAAGTGGAGAATGTGTTGGGTAAGGCAGCCACCAGCACTCCTGGGAATAGGTGCCCTCATAGAGGATTTAGCCACAGGATGGTGATTCTGTATGCTAAAGCAGATATGCCTGGATAAACCTACATCTCTGTCCCTTGAGCCTACAGAAGGAGTTGTATTTTATCTTCTTTATGGTGGGGTATAGTTCTTGGCCTTCCTTGGCAAGGAGCAGCTGTACTGAGGAAGTCCTAAAAATGGATAGATAAGCTGGGTTGGACAGGCAGTCCTGGCTTCTTTCCTGGTGCTGATGGCTCTGTGTGTGAGAGAGACAATGAGATGATTGTTTGGTACAGCATTTGGTTGCTCAAACTGACACTCTGGGGCAATTGTTCCCTTGCTTGTTGGTCATGACTAGAAAGATTCCAAGGGAAAAAAAGACACAGAATGAAATTTGTTCACTCTTTTGTTCTGTCATTTCAGCTCCAGTTTTCCCTTGAACCAGAGCCCATTGCTATAAACTGCACAGCCTTCAACCACAATGGGAATCTGCTGGTCACCGGAGCCGCGGACGGCGTCATCCGTCTCTTTGGTAAATTGCCCACTCGGGCTGTGGCTTTGCTTAGATCATGTCCTGGTTGAGTTTGTTCTGTTTAAACCCTTTAGGCCCCAAGGGTAGGTGGTGGAGTAGAAGCCCCTGTGAAAGCTATAGTTCCTCGTCCCTTGTAAGGGATAATAATGGAGGAGAGGGAACCCTTTTGCTACTCCTTGTATAGCAGCCCATTCACTCTACGTCATCTTTCCCAGTCGGGCAGCTTCTAAATGACTACAGTTCCCATCACTACAGCCCATTCACTCTACGTCATCTTTCCCAATCGGGCAGCTTCTAGATGTATTGAATGACAGTTCCCATCACTGCCAGCCAGCTTGGGGTGTCTTTCCCAACTTCGGTCACCAAGCCTTTCCCAACTGGGTGATTGCAAGGTGTGCTGGATTGCAACTCCCAGAATTCCCCAGCCAGCAAGTGTTATCAGCCAATACATCTTGAAGCTACTAGGTTGGGGAACTATAAATCTCTGGGCATCCATTTGCAGCATTTGCATACAGTAGTACCTTGGTTTACGAACACCTCGGTTAACGTAATTTTCAGTATATGAATGGAAAGCCATAGAAAATGATGCCTCAGCTTATGTTTTTTTCAAAGCCATAGAAAATAATGCCTCGGTTTACGTTTTATTCCCGCAGTGTGAAGGAAGTTTCCCCAGGATGCATTGTGCCTGGAGGTTGTGCCTGGATGTGCCTGCGATGCATTGTGCCTGGAGGTTGTGCCTGGATGTGTCTGGCAATCCACATTTCAGTTTATGAATTTTTTGCATTAAGTAACATTCCGGAGAATGCATTAAATTTGTAAACCAAGGTGCTACTGTACATGCAACATTGCAAGAGGGCTCTCACTTGCTGTGAATAGATGATTCACATGGGTTGGGAAGTGGGACTACGAAAGTTGGCTCTCACTTGCTGTGAATAGATGATTCATGCTGGGACTCTGAAAGTAAAATAAATCATAAAAGGAAGTAGGTTTACATCTCTGAAAATAATTTAATTTAATTTGTATAGTTCTGTCTGTGTGCATGCCATGAGTAGTTCCTAACTGAAAGAGACTTACAAGCTCAAATAGGCATATGGAGATCATGTCCTTTCATCACTCAGACAGCTTCCTATGAAATGGTATATTAACTGTTTCTCTGCTTGCACGTATCTAGATCATTATTTTCTTAGGGTTTGGCTCAGATTACCAAACAGTTACTATGTAAAGGCTCATCTGCAGGCGTTGGACTTTATATTAGGTCAAGTACCATATTCACTATTCTGGGGGAATCAACTCTCATTTAAAAGCCATGGATTTGGTTGTGAGAATTTGTTTCAAATCATGCATCACGTGCCTGGGGAGAGCTCAGTCAATTTGCATATAGGTTGAGTGATGGTATTATAGGATGTAATTGTTATAGGCTGTCAAACTGGAACCAACTTATAGCAAACCCCAACAGGGTTTGCAAGGTAAAGGAGATAAAGAAGTGGTTTTACTGGTTCCACTCTCTCAGTCAGTTTTTATGGCCAAGCAGGGATTCGAGCCCTCTTCTCCAGAGTCCGTCACTCTATCCACTTTACCACACCACACTGAGAACCACATTACAGGATAGCAGTCGAAAAATATGGAAAGATATCCATAGCTTAGCATGGTTCATTGTCTTTCTCTTAAGTGGAAGCAGAGGCACACTTAATTAGGGAGAAAGATGCATCATTTGCCTTTGTAGGTCTGGAGGTGTCATTGGATGGAGGATTTGGCTTTTTGTGCTGTTGACTGTTAAGTTTATTTCCTGAATGTGGTCTCAGAAAATTCAGGGCTTTGGTGAGGAAAAGGTGGAGCCAATGAAATCTCTAGATAAGAAAACTCTTGTTCCGTTTATAGGGAAGAACTGCTCTCCTGTTTCATCCTTGAAGCCTTTTTAATGCTTGTTCTTTAGGCTTCCTTCTGCAAATTTGGTGTTTTTCAGACGGCCTTCAGGGATGATAGTTGTGGTCCGGCATATCAGAAAGGTGCAAGGTTGTGGACGTCAGCTTTAGAGAAGGCTTTTTAAAAAATCCTCACCTCTCCCCTTTCTCCCCCTTCTTCTTAGATATGCAGCAACATGAATGTGCTATGAGTTGGATGGCCCATGATGGGGAAGTCTATTCTGTGGAATTCAGCTATGATGAGAATGCCGTTTACAGTATCGGAGAAGATGGGAAGGTCAGTGTTTGAGGAGGACAAAGAGCAGTCCCAGACCCTGGGATTGCACAGTCCTAACACCATTTAATTTGAATAGCATTTATATGCCCTATTCGGACAGGCAGATCTAAGCAGCCTACATCTAATGGGACATAACGTAAGGAAATGCGTAGCAACTTAAAAAAATTAATATATAAAAATTATAAAATGTCTGTTACGGTGGTGTGCGACCTCCTTTGGAGTTATAGTTGTAAGATGAGGCTGCAAGTCCTTTTGGAAACAAGCTGAGTTCCTGAAGGAAGAGGCTTAATAAGCTGTGTTTGTCCTGCCCCTCTCCACATTTTGTCCACCTGTAGTAAGAGGTTCTGTCCGTGAAGCATAAAAGACACTCGTGCGTTCTTCTCTTTTGCCATTTTAGTTCATTCAGTGGAATATCCACAAAAGTGGCTCCAAAGTATGTGAGTACACCCTCCCCAAGGACGCCACAGGTCCCTTCGTACTGTCTGGCTACAGCGGATACAAGCAAGTCCAGTTCCCACGCGGGCGGCTCTTTGCCTTTGACTCGGAGGGCAACTACATGCTGACCTGTTCTGCTAATGGGGGCGTCATCTACAAGGTACTCTGCCTACTCATCTTATCACTTACCTGGGAAGGCCTCTTACCAAAACCAAATAATTGGCTTTTCCCTGGTGCCCTAAAAGCACCCAAGATAGTGGTGTTGTGTCCCATGCTATATCGCATCATAGGGGTGGAAAACTAGATATGCTCCATCGGAGCGAAACAGCGACTCTGCTCCCGCAGCAAGTGCGCTTGTGCCCACCAGCGAAAGTGACTCTTTGTGTTTGACAGCGGGGTAGGACGGGGATTAGAGATACTGCAGTAATGGAGGGGAGGCCTATAGGTATCCACAGTATAACCCCCCCCCCACATAATCACAGGTTTTTTTAAAAAAAAATCCTGGTGATGGGAGTGAACATTCTTTAGATGATAGCTGGAGATTTATAGTTTACACATTATCTGAATCACCAAACAGAAATCATTTCTAACCTCCTGCATTTGCCCTCTAAGCTAGTTAGGGTAAGATCAGGTAATTTAAAAAATAGTATATATACTGACCTTCAGCAGTTGCTTCCGGTATTAACCACTAGTTCAAAATCCTGCTCTGTCACTTCTTCGAAGGTGATCTGGGTAAAACTCTTTCTTTAGGATCAAGATCCTTCCATGTGTTAATGCAACTAGTAATCTGTTATTTTTGAGCTAATGAAAGATTGAAGGGGCAGTTACATTGACAGATAGTCGTTGGTTCAGGTGGTATGAATACTTATTCTGATGTAGAAAAGCAATAGGTGTGTGTGGAGGGATAGAAATAAGGTAAGGTTGTGCTAGTCAGCTTAGATTTCAAACTGATAGGTAGGGTTTCTGTTACAGAAACCTTCTGTTTATGTACTTCTCATACACATCACTCCAGTCAGCTACTGTAGAAAGAGAATTCTGGACTAGATAGTTCTGTGGTGTCTCCTCCATTAGGGCTCTTCTTATGGTCTTGTCTACAGATTGGGCAAGAGTAGAAAGCTAGGCTTCCAGATATTTATACATTTTGACTTTTGTCTGTTTTCCCTCTCTTTCAGCTGAATAGCAGTGACAAAGTATTGGAAAGTTGTCTCTCCCTGGGAGGACACAGGGCCCCAGTGGTCACAGTGGACTGGTGCACAGCTATGGATTGTGGGACCTGCCTCACCGCCTCCATGGATGGGAAGATCAAACTAACCACTTTATTGGCACAAAAGTCTTAAATAAAGCTGTGCCACTGGGAAAGCACACATTTGAACTACTGGGGTGGGTGTGGGAGAGGACAATCAGTATTAACCATTTAGATGCAAGCTGCTTCGGACAGAAGGAAGTAACTCAACCGCTCATCTTAACGTTCCTCTCTCATCTAGATTGGAAACTTGTTTCACTTAATGCCAAACCACTGCCAGTTAGGAGAATCAATTACAGCCATTTTCCAAAATATGCTCATAGCAGGCATGCAGTGCTCATCAAACCCATTCCAGTGAGGACCAGATCCTTCCCCACCGCCTCTCCCACAAGTCCCCAGTAGCATTTGGCCATAAAGTCCTAGAATTGTGCCAAGATGTGATGCAGTTTTGCAGTGACTCCAGCAGGGAAGACAAGCCTGTGGAAAACCTAACAGTATTCTATGTCTGCTACTGCATTTCTTGTAATAAAATATTAGACTGCATTTGTTACGTATGTGCGTGATGTGTCCATACTTTAATGAAACTTCTGTGCAGTAGTTCAGCAAGACAATTGTAATTCAATTGTATATTGCTTCACCTCATTGTATTGTGAGACTTCTGAAGAAGGTATGAAGAACACATGGCCATCCAGCTGCTTCTGAACAACTCCCATCATCTTTCACTATTAACTGTGCTGGCTAGAACAGTTTTGCATTGGGGGGGGTCACAGGTTCCTTGATGTTACTCTAAATCCTTGCATCTACTTGGGAGACATTGTGCTGTGTTAGATTCCTGATAAAGTCAATGGATTGCAGGTAACACTGAAAAATGCTGAGTCATCCTGGAAGAGCGGCCTTGAGGGTTGCATTTTTTTTTTAAAAAAAATTGTATCCAATTTCAACTTCTAGATGTTATTTTGCAGGACTGAAGAAGCTCAGTAACGGGCGGGGGGTTTACTGAGCTTGGGCAGGGAGTTTACTGAGCTTTGTCTCCATTGCTAATGGTGAGGAACAGCATGGGGAGAGGGACACATTTCTATCCCCCCCAACCCCATGTTGTAGTATTAGGGAATAACTAGAATTTGTTGAAAACTATAATTGTAAGCAGGATATTTAGGCACCTTTTACTTGTACAGCTTTTAGGATTCTATTTTTTTGTAAGAAAGAAAATTGAGAACTCCAAAAGGATTTGCATAATAGAACCATCTCTGCAGCAGTCATTTATTTGGGGGGGGGGAGATGACTGAGGCTGGATATCCAATGTGGTGCACTGCATAGAGTAAGGAAGTGGTCCCCAACCTTGGGCCTCCAGATGTTCTTGGACTTTCAACTGCAAGAAATCCTGGCCAGCAGAGGTGGTGGTGAAGGCTTCTGGGAGTTGTAGTTCAAGAACATCTGGGGGCTAAGGTTGGGGGCCATTGGAGCAAGGAATTTGGTTTCAGGAGGCCTGGATTTGAATTCCTGCTCAGCCAGGGAAATTCACTGCAGGTGTGGAGCTGGCAACATCACTCCTTGAATATCCAAAAGTGTTGTGGCTCCTTTAAGGCTAACAACTCCTCAGTCTGCTTTGCTATGTCACAGAGAATGCTAGCCAATGGACGAAGAGGAGGTGGAATCCATTGTCACCTGATACAGGAAGTGCTTGTTTCCCAGACCTTGAAGAGTTACAGTCAAAAGGTTGTTACTTCTTTCCTTCGGTTTATATTAACGGGGAGCTGCAGTTTATGAACGGGTTGTATCTGAGTGGAATTCCTTCTTTCTTCAGATGATTTGAAAGTATTTCCAGAGGAGTCGCCAAGCAAGTAAACAGCTGGATGATCTCTAGTTGACTTATTTCTTGTTTTTTGGTTCATAATACTTGAAGAGTAAGTAAGTCACTACTCAGTATACAAACGGGGATGAGTCCGACTGAAAATGCAGCCCTATGCGTTGAGGGCTTGCCTGGGAGTAGTAAGCTCCCTTGAGCACGGAGGGGGGGTTCAGGGAGGGGGAAGGTGTATTTCTGAGTAAGCCTAACTCCTGTTGCCCTGTGTAAGCTCAGCCAGCTCCACCAAACACGTATCCAGTATGTTTGCCGAGGATGATGGCAACAGCATGATCGGAATGCTTTTTACTATTGTTAGTTTAGATAACGGCGTAGCTTCCTGTCTCTGTGTTTTTGCAGTAGAAAAAAGTGAATCTTTGGAAACTGCAGATAAGGGTGGGAGAATGAAAAGGCAGTTCCATCCCATTTTCACTAAAATCATGTCTGTATTTTCCCCTACAGAGTACATGCTTTGCATGCCATTTTCGTGCTGCTGCTGCTAGCCTCTTCCATGTGATACCATTATCTTGCATAAATTCATTGTTGAGTTTTCCCCTACAGAGTACATGCTTTGCATGACATTTTTGCGCTGCTGCTGCTGCTAGGCCTCTTCCATGTGATACCATTATTGTATTTTGCATAAATTCATTGTTGAAGTGGAGTAAGAACCTGCAGTGGAACCGACGCACCGAGACTCTTTGACTAGGAGGTACAATTGTGGCATTTCCCACATCGCACAGGTTTTCCTCTTTCTTCTGAACCTAACTGCAGTCCTCCTAGTAGGAGATGGATTTTCTTGGTAATAATGTATTGTGAGCTAGTCCTGTGGAAACAGAAAGTAGCCTGACCTGACTTGGACTACACAGGGCGATTAAAATCCATTAGAATCAGCTCTTGGTAGAGGTGAAAATTGCTTGAACTGGTGTGTTTCTGTGTATCAACATACTGTAGCTGACATCCTTTCTGAACTCTCCTTTGGGGGCCCCGTAGGTGGCAGCAGCAACCATGGAGATTGTTCTATTGCATGTCTGCACGTCAGAATTCACCAGCTACCTAGTACACAATTAAGCCTTGGGAGGTTGCTAGAGGTAATTAACAGCTGAATAGCTCAGTGCATTGGGAACTGACATCTGGCTCCAGTTTTCCCAGTCCCCTAGTAACAGGACTCCTCTTGAGGTCCTCTATCTGTCAACCCAAATAGGTATTCAAAGAGAGAGGAATTCAGTACATTTTGAACAGTTGCCTCGTGTTTTTCAACCACTATTATTCTAATCAGTTTTTGAGTAGCAAATGTTCTCATAATTTTCCTTAATTAATTGACTGGGACTAATTGTGGATTCAGTCTTAATCAATTCATTAGACATAGAACTGATTTAGTTGGCTGGGTAGCTCATAAGGTAGGCATCAACTGTGGAGCTAGAGGTTAGGAGTTTGAGTCCCCACTGCATGATGTAGAAGAGGAGCCACCTTGTGTAGCCTTTGGCAGGCTTGCACAGCTCTAGGGTACCCTCAGACGAAGGGAATGGTAAACTATCTCTTGAGTGCTTTGTCTACTCTAGAAAACCCTAGAAAGAGTTGCCGTGCCAAAACTGACTTGATTGCATGCCCATCTTATTATTTCTGTAGATATGGTAGCTGTCCATGCCGAATGCAAGCCTCCCCTTCCCCGAGTTGTCCAAACAAGATGCTCAGAGGAGGTGTTCCTTATACATATATCTAATGGGAAGCTGGCTCTTTCTCTCTCCTCCCTCAGAGGTTCCCCTCGCCCTCCAGCCCACCTTGAGGCTTCTCATATACTTAAGCACTTTTGCTTTTCTGTTCTTGCTAGTTTAGATGGACTAGTGACCAACGCAAGAGATTGGAGCAGCCCATCTGCCTGATGCTTGATTTTATTAACCCATTATATAGAGATCCTCTGTACTTTGCTTACTTTATATCTCCCTTCAGGAGGCAATGCTTCCTGCTTTGCTTGAAGGAGAAACCCTAGTGAAAAACCAAATTAGGGGTTGTGCCGTCAGCTGCTTTAATAGCCATGTTTGTTCAGGCAGACATTTGTACTCTGGAAATACTTATGTTCTTCTTCTTCTAATTAATAAAAGAAAAATTAGAAATAGCAAAATTAAAACTAAAATACAGATTCAATAGTGACTACACACAATACTCATTGAAACACTTATGTTCGCCTAGTGAAAAACCAAATTAGGGGTTGTGCCGTCAGCTGCTTTAATAGCCATGTTTGTTCAGGCAGACATTTGTACTCTGGAAATACTTATGTTCTTCTTCTTCTAATTAATAAAAGAAAAATTAGAAATAGCAAAATTAAAACTAAAATACAGATTCAATAGTGACTACACACAATACACATTGAAACACTTATGTTCATAGATGGGATCATTTTAATAGTTCTATTTCATCCTATTCCTTAAGATTAAAAAAAGCCATCAGTTAAAAAATGGAGGCTGAGTTTTCCTGAAAAAGCTTAGAACAAGAGAATGGACTTTACTGTGTCTTGAGTAAGAACTAGGTCATCATGTCTTGGAGGACAAGGTTCTCTAAGGGGCCCTGTTGCCTGCCTACTTAACTTCTCCAGAGACTCCTGGATGACTCTGTTGATAGACAGGTTAATGTGGAAGAATGCAGTCCTGGTAATATTACAGTTCACTAGCAAATAGTGAAAACAGCACTTTGCAGTGGTTGGGTGGATCAGAAATTAAGGCGCTGAAAACACTGAATTTCCCAATATGTCCCATTTGACAGCATACTGCAGACAACCTGATGTTTCACGTAATGCACTCTGTGCTGTGGACTTGGAAGATACACCAATGACTGAGCAGTGAAACCCACAGGGGAACTACTTCACAAGATCCTTGTGATCGTAAATGCAGGGGGAGATCCTTGTATAGCATCTCTTGAATTCATTGGTGAAAATCTTGGAGGCTTCTCATTCCTGGATGTGACCAAAGGATAACTGTGATGAGGTCATTTTTGAGGGACTATTGTGAGTACCAAACCAATTGACAGTATAAAAAACTGCAAATGGGTATGAATAGATGTACTTAAAGAGTTGCGACAGACTGCCTGACATGGATACAAGAGTACAAGGAGGTTGATACAGAATACAAAAGCTTTTCCTATTGTGAAATCCATTTCTTTTCCTGAACAGAAGGAAATGGCATCTCCTGAAGCTGCGAAGAGGAGGATCCTCCCAGCATGGATGGCAGAAAGGGCAGCCGAGCCAGCACAAGAGGCTGAAGCAAAGCCAAAGAGAAGGAAAATGGCAGCTTTGCCCAGGTAAGTTGTTCATGCTGCCAAATTCAACCCATAGAAGATAGAATTGGACTTAAGCCAGTAGTGCATTGTGAGATGCAGGTGGCAATGCATAACCACCACCATTACCCTTGCCCCCTGAAGAGACTCCAAAAATGCCAGCTGTTTTGACAAGCCATTTCTAATGTTTGCATCTCCACAAAGAGCAGTAGTTTTGTAAGGCTAATGTGCTTGAACTGCCAGTTCAAGAAGACGCTAACCCAGAGTGTTCTGTATTACAAACAGGATGTTGGCGTTGTTATGTGCCATCAAGTTGGAGCCTATAGTGACCCTGATAGGGCTTTCAAGGCGAAGGAGTGGTCTTGCCAGTTCCATTTGCCCAGTGAGTTTCCATGGATGAGCAGGGATTCAAACCAAGGCCTCCTGAGTCGCATTCCATCACTCCATCCAGTTCACCACTCTCCCTTTTATTACAAAATAGATTGCTCACAATACTGTATCATGGCTTCAGAAACCTACCGCCACCACCAGTTAATGTGTAGACTGCAGCTTATTTTGGAGGGAAGATGGAAACTTGAGCAGTGTGACAGATATTTTGCCATCATTCTTGTGGTTCGAAAGCTCCTAATGTGCTCCTGCTTGCTCTTGCTGCACTACACCACGGACCTGGCCCTCTGTGTCCTAGCTGGGGAACTCTGGGAGTTACAGTCTAAAAAACTAACTTTTCCAGACTCTGCTCTGATTGTGCTGGTTCTTTGAACTAACAGCTATTGCCACAGACTTTTGTGTTGATTGTGGGTGCCAGCTATAATGCTTCTTATATTGGTCGGCCGTAAAAGTTCATGCATGGAACTACAGCCCAGTCCCGTCTCAGCTGCCTTCTCATATGTTTAATCAATACATCCTACTCGCCCACCCACAAATGCTTCCTATCTAAATAATCTTTGATATCCAGTACTCTTTTGGTGTAGGGGATGTGGTGGTGCTGTGGGTTAAACCGCAGAACCCTCTGTGCTGCAAGGTTGGAAGACCAGCAGTCATAAGATCAAATCCAGCTCCTGCCCAGCTCTTGCCAACAGAGCAGTTCAAAAGCATGTAAAAATGCGAGTAGATAAATAGATAACAGTGTTCCGTGTCTAGTTGTGATGGCCACTTGACCACGGAAGATTGTCTTCGGACAAACGCTAGCTCTATGGGTTGGAAACGGAGATGCTAAGCAACAGGATTTTGGTCATTCTCTGTAGCAGCTTTACCCTTTCTTGCATTGGTCATATCATTCTCTTGTAGATGAGTATATGTTTTCTCCTTTGCCTTTTGCTTATTTTAGGTGTCACAGTATATATATATTTCTCTTTGCAGGCTTGAGACTGTTTACTGCATGAATGAAGCAGAGTTGGTAGACATAGCTCTTTGTTTTTTGGCTGAGGTATGTAAGCACAGAGGGGGTAGGCTGCCCAAATTCTAAACTCTTTCTGCTTTGCCCTACTCACCTATGGGGGTTGCTGCTGTTTTATTCATCCTTGCTCCACCACTTCATGCTCTCTGGACAGTGCTGGGTCTAAACCAGTAATTCCCCACCTTGGGTCCCCAGATGCTCTTGGACTACGACTCCCAGAAATCTTGGCCAGAACAGGGGAAGGCGTCTCAGAGTTTTAGTTCAAGAACAGCCGGGGAGCCCAAGGTTGGGAACCACTGATCTTCCCTGCTCCCCTTCTATGACAAGCACAGTGGATGGCTCCAGCCTGGCTCTTTGGCGATTAAGAATCGCATGTTACTGTAATTTTGAAAATAGGGAACTGGGCTGTAGATATACTCAAATCCTTTTCAACATGTGTCTGTTTCCTCACTAGCCCGGAAGGTACTAGAGAGGAATCTTAATGCCGTTGCTCCTTTATTAGGAACTATATGTGTAAAGAGTTCTGGGATGAGAAGCCCTGGCCCTCCAAATAGTTTGGCCCACGAGTCCCATAAGCCTCAGCTGACAGGGCTAATTAGAAGGAGTTAGAACTGTTGCCCAAAGAGCTAAAGAGAGAGAAGTTCCCCTGCTCCAAGAGGCAGCTCCAAAATTGTGGGAACATATGCTTACATATGCATGTTTTATTGCTAGAACTGCAAAGATAAGGAAATGGAGGCAGCATCCTCAGAAGATGAGGTCCCAGCGACTCAGCAAGTACCGGTGAGTCACCAGCGGAGGGCAGAGAGTGGCAGCGACCGAACTCCAAGCCCCACTATGGGGTCCAAGCCTCCAAAGGAGTGGTGTACGCTAAGTGGCAACAAGAAGGCTGAATCAGAGGAGAAAGATGACGATGACGCTTTAAAATATGTCAGGGAGATCTTCTTTACTTAACTTTGAATCCTAGACAACATCAGAAACCACTTCTAGAGACCAGGGTTGCTTTAAAGGGAAGGAGTCTCCCAGTCTGCTCCTGACCTTGCTCATATCACATGGAGGAATGGTATGGTCATCCCGTGACTTTGGGACAGTGAAATTGCCTTCTAGATTTGTTGAGAATGTTTATTTTCACTCAAAGGAAGAGAACCTTGGTTACTGAAGAACAGATTGGCCCCATCTTTGCTGTCCTTCCGCAAGCAGGCAAAGACCTTT